CTTATCTGGGCGCTTGTCCTAAGAAACCTTAAGGAGTTGTTTAACTTACTGTTTGCATCAAACGGCATGCTGTTGCATCCCGTTGGAGAACAGATGCCATGTTTCAAATACGCTAGTGTGATGTTAGGGTTCATGTCCAGTTGACAAGCATTTACCACAGCAGCTTCTACTCGGTTTTCTACTAGATCCTTCATGGCGGCCCAAATTGCAACAGCTGACGAGGAGCAAGCTGTGTCCACTGAATAGCTAGGACCTGTTTAGAAGCGAAGAAAATGATTATGGGAAGAGGGTTTTGATAGCTTAGGCAAATATTCTTCACTAAATAAAATACAATGAATGCTCTTACAACAGATATAGTAAATATTTATATTTTAAAATTTTTTTTAAATTTTTGTTATACTTATTTTTCAGCTTTGTGCATAATTGCGGAATACTGAATTATTGGTTGTTTATTTTTTTATCTCGTAGAAAGAGAATGGATATTTAGATGGTGTGATATAAAAATTTATTTCATTGCTTAAATGTGAAAAACTTGCATAACATGTATTTTGCAATACATTATTTATTTCACAACTTACCCAAGAAATCGAATGCATACGACACTCTGTTAGCATGTAGACACCTCAACCAAGAAAATCCAGTTAATTTTTTTTCATCGCTCAGTGTAAGAAGTTGAGAATCATCGTTTGTTGTCGCATTATACACTCCAATCTTTGCTCCTCTCAAACTTGTTGGATCAAAACCTGAAAATAAAACAATATTTTAATTTTGTCTCATATCTGTGACGATGAGAGAGGAACCTGTTTGACTACTAAACCTTTGCTTCGTGGTGATCATGTTTTCTAATCGTTTTCTATTTTTTTTAAATTGCTTTCTGAAGCAGAATGTTGTCATTTTATTACCAAATAACGTTCATGGCAATCAAAATTATAACCACTTTCGAATTAACTTGAGCACTCCAATCTCATTTAGATATGAATGCCCGATAAAATTACGAGTTTTATTATTTTCCTGATCACCTATCAAAAACTTTACCACTTTACGATAGTGACTAACTAGTATGCGCGAAATTAACAAAAAGAAAACTGGAAATTAGAGGAAAAGTCTTAAAAACTAATTTTTTTTTCATGTAGATTGAAACGAAAAAAATAATTTTATATTTGTCAGGCGTAAAACAACAAAAATCGTTGACAGAATCCTATTTGAAAGATGCTCCTGCCACCACCGGAAATTCTTCCTACGTCTTAAGAGAGAGATAAAAACAAACTTTATTTCTCCGTTTCAATCTGTAAAACAATAGCTGATAGTAAATAATAATAATGCAAAGGAAGGCAAATCAGGTTATTTATTTTTTTGGAACTTTATAAAAACGATAATTTTCAATGGAAGTATTGCGATACCTTACAACATAATTTAAAGCAATTGAGGAAAGAACATACATGAAACGTTTTAAATTTATAAGTTAATAATAAATCAAGTTAATTGAGAGTGTTGTTTACAAATATTATACCCTTAAAAGAGAGTTATTTAATTATATTGAATTGCGTCCAGCAGTGGACTGATCGTTATAACACCGGTTCCCTGTAGAGAACCGTTCTCAAGCATGCATGGCAGCGGTTAGCTGACTGAGCTAAGTGATGGGTGACCATTTTAATTAGCCTGCGAAGGAACACAGGATGTGCTGACTGTTCTACCGTAAAGAGCTCGACTTCACCCGAAGGTCGTCGTGCTACAGAAGTGGAGGATCATTCCATCTGCAGAGGATCAAAATTGTGATGGCATGTCTTCGGATCATCTTCAGGGTTGTTTCCCAAATCGTCGTCAATAACCCATTGTGCAGCTTCAGTGTGACGTAAATAACGTAATACTACTACTACTGCAATATATTGAATTGAAGCAATAAAAAAAGCTATTGAAATTGTTGCACATATTTTTTTACTTTACATAAATCAAAATTATACGAAAAATATATAGTGATATAGAAAAAAATTGGTTATTATTTATTATTATTGGTAAAGCTTATAATCGAGAAAATGAAATAGGTAAATTTCTCAAATTTCACAATTTGTATTATTATTCAAACACGAGAAGTTGGCGGATGGTGAGATAGCTCAGTGGCAGTGGAAGAGTTTCCTTGTTCATAGGTTGGGAAAGTCAAAGCACGCGAAACGTGAGCACTTTTTTTTGGCGTGTAACACGGTGAGAAAAATACGTAAAAGTACCTTTCATAAGAATCAGTAGAAAATGTCCGTTTGGGAGGCAAATTTAAGTTGGAATGTAAAAAGACGGCGAAAAGACGTCAAATAAGGTTTTTATATTCCTTTCGGTTCTGTTTCGCTTCTACTTTCTATGACTTCCACCTTTCAATTGTCTGAATAAAATTTACCTGTGAGTTTAACTTTCTCTTTGTACACGCTAATTTATGATGCCAGAAATTAGTACTTTGAAAATAGGGAGATTTCGCAAATTTCTGTTAGCTTCGATGCTCTCCCGTACGTAAGATTTGAAATAATTGCGCATGCGTCCGTTTTGGAAAAATACGCATGCGCCCGTGAAAAAGTAACAAACTTACGTAGATGAAAATAAAGAGATTTTTCAAAAAGCCCGTAAGTAAAAAACGTTAACGTAGTGGAATATCACTTTAACTTTGACCATAAAATCTAAATAAACATTTACAAAGGACGATTTCTTCAAATTTGTGGCTTAGAGAGATTTGGATATGGATACGATTCAAGATGCTTTGCTCCAGCATAAGACTTCGGTCTTGTGTCAAAATTTTGTAGATCATAGATTTAGATAAATTCAGCAATTAAAAATGCAATTGAAAATTGTGGCTGAAGATTTAAGAAATTTAGTTTCTGCATTAGGTCTACTTACCATTAACCGTAGCTTAGAGTATTTGGCTACAAACTGCAGGTAAGTTAGTTCGTACAAGGAGTATTTCTCAATTTCTGATTAAATTAACATAAATAAAACTATATTTTGTTTATTGGAGTTGATAGTTTAGCTATTTTGCTCATTCAATTGACTTACCCAGACAGATTGTTTGATTTAGAAAGAATTTTGGAATTTCGTTTTTATGTCTAAGCATATTCATCAACGATCGCTATTTATGCTATGTGTTTTTTCTCTATTTGTCGTTATAATTATATAAACTTCTTAAGTACCGATGTCTACTGTTAAAACACGAACTAGAACCGATTAAAAACACAAATGAAATATTAAAGCATGAACTGGAACATAATTAAAACAAAACTCTGTTTGAAAAAACTACCAATACTAAAGTTTAAAACTTAACAGCTTTTTAATAATCTTAAACATAACAGTTCTACCATAAAACAAACATCATACTCAAGAACAAATCAAAGCTGAAAAGTATCGGTGGCGTAACTAAATCACTTAAGAAATACACCAATAAAGAAGGCACAACTAGATCACCCATCGTTTTGTAATTTATTATCGTTTGCTATTCCAGAAAAATAAATGATCTAGTTCATCGCTTTTAACATCTACCACTAGAAGCTACTTAAACAGAGCTGAGTTTAAGAAATGAGTTACTAATATACTTTTTTGCCATCGTTATGAATCTCAAAGCATTCAAATTTATGTATCTAATACATAGATTTAACTACTTTCTTCTCTATTTTCTAAGTATTGTGATTCATTTCTCGTAAATAATATATATCTATGACTGTTTTTTTCTTTCTTTATATAGTCAATTTTTTTCAGAAATGGACGGCACATATTTTAAAGACAAAAATTGTTGTAAACGAAATTATTGCACCATTATTAATTTCTATTTACAAATAAGTAATGTATTTTTAAGAATGTGATTATTACGACAGATGCATTATTAAAATTAAAATAATATATTTCTTATCATCATGAATCAAAATTAAAACAATATCTTTGCAAGACATAAATATTTTGTTTACTAAGAGAACTGATGTTTAATGCTTAAAATTGCTCTGGGAAACGTCAGCATCGGTATATACTAGCGACAATTAAATAGCTAACTCAAATGGATCAAAATAAATATGTTACCTATGGTAGAAATTTTTTTTTATTCACAAATAGAACTGATATTATGTGCTTAAAATTTATCTGAGATTCATCCGTATCTGTACCTGTTAACGCCAACTACCAACTAACAACGCCAAGGAACCAAATGCTTTTTGTATACATGAAGAAAGATTTTAAATATTATGTAGTGGCTTGGCGGAGTTTATGTGTAATTGTCAGCTTCCGTTTTTATTTTAATTTGTTTCTTTCATGCCACTGTCTTGTTATTTTCAAAACTTTAATGTGTGATAGCAAATTAATTTTTTTTTGGCAATTGGTGGCAGTTGATGTGCATGCATTTTCTTGATTTGAAAAAATGATGATTTTTAGTCATTTACTCCAATAAGGGCTCACATTTATTTTCTTCACAAATGTCTTGCTTCGTTCGCTCTTCGATCAAGTATTGCATCTACGTATTTACTTTATCAACTCAGTAATTTTATAACAGGCAATAAAAGGGGTTCTTTATAGTAGGTAAACAAATAGTTGTCATTTTTTGTGGTAACAAAGATTTCGATTAGGGTTCAAATACAAAGTGCATACATTATCCTCTTCATTTTAAATATATAAAAGAGTATTTTTGTTCTTTGTTGCTTTTTATTTTGATTATTTTGGCCGACTCTAGTTTAATAAACTCATTAAACATTTCATTTTTGTGAAAACGAGTAAGACTGCTCCTTCAAAAATCTGAAAGATCGAAATAATTAGCTGGTTTATTAGAATTTATTTATTAAGAGAGAAAGATCTGACTGAATGGTTATTGGGTGGTCAGAAATATTTTTTTAATTCAACACTCATCCCACATATTTTTTATATATGCTTATTCTCTAATAGTAATCTATTAGAAGGACCCTAAAATTTGCCATGGATGAATGAATTAAGATTTCAGAACTATGCCGATGCCATTTCTGACAAAGGAGCTTCAATTATTATTTATATGTTATCTATATATACCTGTGCTACTTTATTGTCTAACTGATATACACGTTTATATGAAAATCAAGCTGCCATTTACTTTTCAATTGATCCTCCAATGTTAGCTGAATATCTGTCAAACTAATATTTTTTAAAATTTTGAATACAAATAAATACTTGATATCATTGTGTGTCTAATATCTTCTTCTTCCTCTCCATGTATTTAAATCATTCCTTATCTCACAAGTAATTATCATAAAATTGTAATCAGAAGTTCGAATAAATTTCTGTTTTTCTATTTAGTATTTATTCAGAGTATTTTTCGCATGCGAAATTTGGAGAGGGGATTTTCATTTAAGACGAGTGAATCTCAAAAAAAAAAATTTATTTTATTTTTTAAACTAACTGGAAAATTGGTGTAATTTTGCAATACAAAATATTGTTCAGTATTCACCACCCTTTATTATACCGGATGATACAAAACAAGATGATCAGATTTCTAGAAGTAATAAGAATTTCTAGAATTCATAGAGTACTAAAAATTGTAATGACAATTTGGAAATGCAATATTAAGAAGCTGCTAAGGGCTATTGCATTGGTGTTTTATGAAGAAATTATGAGCTCATCTTGGCAAATGGATATTTCAAGGCTATTATCGTGAAATTTCTTAATAATGAAGCGGTCCAAAAGTTTCTTAATTTGACTGAGACGGTAAAGACGCCAATCGTAGCCAAAAAAAGTACGCCACTTAAAGTTGTGAGTATTGACTGTGTTTCTCTATTTTATCAGTTTAGACTGAAAAACTAGAGCTTACCTGAGTCTTCAAACAAGTTTGAGTGAAACTATGTAAAAAATTGAGTTTGAAAGCGTTTATTTCATTGCTAGAAGCATTTATTATAAAAAAAAAATATTTATTAAATTACATTTTTTGCAATGAGATGAGATCCTAAACTACGTGAAAAATTGATTTAATTCCTTAATATATATAAAAGTCCGTAAATACTTCATTTATTATGGAGGTCATAGATACCTTGATACTCTTTCAATATTAGAATAATAAATGCAATTAATAGATAATGCGCAATTTTAAAAATATATTTTATTTACATATATTGCGTATAGGTTATTCCGCAACGATCATAAGTAACATATATTTATAGATTCCTAAATACTGTTAAATGAATTAAGTAATTAAAAACATAATTTATAAAATAGTAACATAATTAAAAGATTAACATAATTAAAAAAATTGTCCACATTCAATTAAAACCTTCCTGTTGTCGAATATTAATAATAATTATAATTTTTAACAACTTTTTTAAACAGAAATTTTCTCGAACTTAATACTATCCTTCATATGAAAATATCAGAAAATTTATTGACAAAAAACTATATTTTAAAATTGAGACATTGGCGACAACAGAGGCTAGATGCATGCACTCAGTTTAAATAAATTATATGTTATAGAACTCACATTTAAAATAAATTAAAATGAAGTCAACTTTGCTTACTTGAATGACTGTGATTTCAGAACTGTAATAGTTATAGAATATTCTTCTTCTTTATAGAATAGTATATATTTCTGGATATATATAATTCGGAAAACAACAATGGAGAATAATCCAAATTACTTGAAATAGTATCATTTTTGTTGACTTTTAATAATTTTTTATCGTTCTCTTGGTAAGTATTTTTTAATTTTGAAAAAATAATTTCAACTAGAATTCAGCTATTCTGTTTTTAAGTTACATTTATGATGATAGTTCTCTACAGAATGATTTTCTACGTCTGATTAAGAACTTTAAGACGAGAAAAAAGAAACGATGTGAAAGTTTTTTTTATTTCAATGTGAGGAAATTTTAGAATCGTTTTTTTTTTCGTCGTAAGCATTTTTTATTTCTCGTGTTTTAGTTTATAAATAAGGATTTTTATTGAAACTTTACATGTTTTGATAAAATTTTTTGTCAAAAAGATTTTTTGCAAAATTAAATGGTATAACATTAAGTGCTTGTGTGTGCTTTACTGCTTGATTTTAATGTTATACAGAAAAGCATGGAATGTAAAATTTAAATAGACCATTTACACTAGATAATTAAATTTAGTAGAGCGATTTCTCAGGCACTAGGTTTTAACTTTATTTTTTAACTGTACCATTCCTTCTTTTAAAAAAAAATATATTCCATTTTATTTTCACATGCATACGAAAGAATACCATACATTTTTCTTTTTTAAATTTAATAAGCCACAATAAAGAAGGAGCATTACCATGCTACTCTGAAGAAATCTCCAGTGCAACTGATAATCCTGTTCTGCTAGCAGGAATTCGTCTCAAATAACAACACCTCCTATAGGTCGTTGCGTTCGAAAATTACAAAACGATAAAGAGTTTAAATTTTAAACTAAGTTAGCGAATTTTTATTTTGTATTTTTTTTAATTCTGGTCCCGAAATAAATTGTCTGAAACAGATATTGTTTATTGCTTGCATTGAAAAACTTTCTTACTAACGTTCATTTTTCTGGTTTCTTAAATCTTTTTTCAAAATGGCTTGTCTAAGTCTTGGATAATTTAAACGTTAAATGTCAATTGTTAAAAGGATATGAAGTTAATTGTTAAATGAATATACATGAAATACAAATCAGGTAGGATTTTTATAAATCATAAAAATCTAAATTCTATTACCTTTTAAGATATTTTGATCATTCAAAACAATCAGTTTTTGTTTAAACTTATTTAAGTGTGTTTTCTTTTAGACTTTTTTTTAATAAAAAAACGTTTTTAAATATTCTGACACCATTTGGAAAATCTATTTATTATCGAATTTTTTTACGCAAAACATTTGGAGAAAAAAAATCTGCGTAGAAAATTTGCATAACTTAAGAAGAGTAATTGAAGTATGGAAAGAATATTACTACGATTGTACAATAGTACGAAGATATATATGTAGAATGTTAAACAATTAATAAGTTGTTAGTAATTTTATTGTCTCTTCTACAGATAACGGACAAACCCGGAAACTATCCTTACCGTCATTAGTAGTTACTATTTTTGAGCTAAGTTTATATTTTGAGCTCAATTTATAACGGACAAATCCGGAAACTATCCTTATCGTCATTAGTAGTTACTATTTTTGAGCTAAGTCTATATTTTGAGCTAAGTTTTTAAAGAACAAACCCGGAAACTATCCTTACTGTCATTAGTAGTTACTATTTTTGAGCTAAGTTTATATTTTGTAATTTGTCTTTTTTTTTAATTGCACAACAAATGACATTTAAATATTTGAAAAACAAAATGCCCAAACCAGAATCTACTATGGCTTCATAGCTGATCTCGATAACTTTTCTTGTTGCTGGGTCAAAGGCATTCACTGCTTCATATGGAACACAAAAGTAATCGGCATCGAATTTATCTAGACCTGAGATAACACCTGCTGAGCTAAATGGCAGCTTTGCAGCACCTTCGAAAGAAAGACATGAAAGTAGTTATATTTCTAATTTTATAAAACATATTTATAAAGTTATATACAATATTTTCAAATGTTAGTCATTTCTCATTTCGAATTAAAATTAGGTGAAACTGGTGATTGCTTTGTCATGAAATTTCATTGAAATAATTTCTGAGTCGCAGAAAAATGTAATTCTTTTAAGACTAATACTAAATACTATTGACGCATAAGCTGGCATATATGGTTTCTGTTCTAGAATGAAAAATTTTCCTCAGTGTCGGCATTTAAAATCGAAGAAAAAAAATACCGAAATACAAAAGAAAAATTACAAATAAGTTACAATTGGGGGAAAAAGAAGGTTGGCTTATAGGAAGGGCAACACACTAGGTTGCTAATAGTAACCTAGTATTTCTTTTATGAAATAATTTATTTCTTTTATGAAATAATTTAAATGACAAAGGTTAAGATAGGAAAATGGCCGCCCGCGCGGACGTTGCATTCGAGAAATTCGTTGTCCGCGGAGAATTTTTGACCGCCGAGGACTGGCTGACGGTCGGTTTTTCGAGCCCTGATTTCTTAAATGCACAGCTGATTATTTAATTGCTTTTTAAATATTTGTAGTACCATGCAAAATTCCGTTTTTGATCATATTATAGAAGACTAAAAACAAAATAAATAAAGAAGGAAAATTGTGTTACCTTTTTCAAAGCGTTCATCAGAGTAGACAATCAATTGTTTCTTGTTCATGAGACCCTCGAATAGTTCTCCGACAGAATGACATTCTGGAAAACGACCGGCTACACCAGTAATGACAATATCTTCTGGATCGTAGCCGGCGGAACAGTATTCGTGATGGTCATCAATGAAGTCCATGCTTAATAAAAGTCACTGAGGGAATTTCTTTTTTTTAATTCTCCGTAAACAAAACTATCTTGAATAAGACATGAATATAGCGAAATGCTAAAAATCATAAGCGTGATGTTAAAAAGTAGTTCAGCTGAGAAATATGTTCAAATGTAAATGTTTTGTTTCAAAATGTAGATTCTGAAATTTTTTTGAAAAGCTATACTCTGTAGCAAGTTAAGAAAAAAAACACCATTTTCCTTATGGAGAGAACTTGTTTGCATCTAAATGCACGCCAAATGGATGCCAAGCTCTCAGCCCGAACGTATATCAACAACGCTAACTATTGAAACGACAATCTCTTTTTTGCTTGCTTCCTTATTAAGCTTGCTTAGCTTAATAAGCCTTTGAAGCTTCCTTATCTTAATAAACTTGTTAATTATTATTTCGTTTGTTCAAATTTTATGACAAAATTGGTTTTTAATGGACTTTTTTCGTATGTCACGCCTAAAAATAATTTCTATTCCTCCCTTCATCCTTTCCTCAACTGATACAATGTGTCAACAGGAAGTTATGTGACATCTTTTATTCTTAATTGAATTTTTGCACTACGTGGTTGTTTGTTCGTAAAATTTACGACACGTGCGTAGTCATAGGTGAAAATTCGAAAACATTTCTTTTTCAAGTGTTTTGTAATTTCGTGTTAATAATTGGAGTATATTATTTTAATTTGTATAAAATCGAATCTATAATTTTTATATCGGTTTTCATGGCGAAAAAATGCGTACAATCAGGTGATTCCCCCCCCCCCGCTTTCTTGGAGAATTGCCTGAAGAAAGATAAAAGGGAGGGTAACATTTGGATTTGAGATTAATAGCGATTGGATTAAAGAAAATAGTAGTGAATCTAAACAATATATTTCAGGTAATTATGATAATAATAGTTCAGGTAAAAGGAATGATGATAGCATGTTCTATGTTTGCAAGAATACATTTTCTAAGGGGTGAAAAGTACAGTGACAAAATTGTTATTAACTAGCTGAATACCTTTCTTCGCACGGTTTAATTAAAAAGAAAAGAAAAGAATCAATAAACATGTACTAAAAAGCACAACGCAATCATGCTCATTACTGAAAGGCATATGCAGACACAATTAAAGAGCTTGATGGATGAACCAGGTGGATGGCGTTTCAAGGGGAATTAATGAATTTGATAAACTAACATAAAGTGGTTGTGTCAATATGGGTATGTTTAATGCAATAGAACTGTTTTTGTTTTCACTTTAATCTTAACATAACTAATCATATTAGTTTTTAGTATACTTGCATGATTTTTATTCAAATTAGGATATGAAGGTAGATAATAAGAATATTTTGCTTTTGTCGAACATATCGTTCTCGAGATATTGTTATTATAAGGTATACACAACAGAATAGAATTATAAATGGATTATGGATAGGGGAGAGTGGGGTGAATTGTAAAATTTTTCACTTAACTACTTTTAAATAACAAAAAATCCAAAATATTATTAGTATTAATTGACAGACGAATAAAGTAGACTATCCTCTACTAGAAAAAAAATAATAAATACCTTATTTTAAATGTTATTTTACTAGTTATTAACAATTTTTGACAGTCGTGCGCCTGTTACAATTGTCCCCACTTATGGGGTCAATTGTAGCAGTTCATAAATTCAACTAAAACATAGTTAATTATACATATTATCATAGTTGTGATATATTTTTTTATTGATCAAAATAGTAGTGATATTTTAGGAGTAAAAATAATAATGAGCAGAGACCTAAAGGGTTAAACTTTTAACTTTAAGGGGTTAAAAATTTTAATTTATGCTGTGAAAGGTGACAAATAAAATAATGCACATGCAACATAATATAAATGATATAGGAAACTATTGGTGGTTCTTAAAGAGTTAAGTAATGGTTTGTAAACATAAGATTATTTATTTTCAGCTGTTACAATCGTCCCTTTACTTATTGTTACAATTGTCCCCAAGACGCCATTTCAGCTTCATTTGTTAAAAACAATGCTAGTTAATTAACAAAACTAATCTTTTTTGACATGTTAATTAAGGTGTCCACTTACATATTCGGTTAATAATTTTTATTTGTTTAGACAAATTTACTTTGTTACAATATATTCTAATACAAAAAAAGTACTTACGTAGCGTGAAAATATCTTTTGTGACGTAACTCTTTCAAAAGTACAAAAAAATGGTTGCCAGCAGGGGTGTACATGTAGATTTATTAAATACACCTTGTGTGCCACCTAGGAACCAAATCTAGAGCCCGACACTCGATATTTTTGCTCTGTTGCAATCGTACCCTGTTACAATTGACCCCACTCTCCCCTATATATTAGCAGAATTCCAAATACCTTCATTTTCTTATAGAAACATCCGAGAAAGAAGGTTAAGACGGTATGTTATTTTCAGCATGGAAAGCGTTATATCGAGCTGGTTATAGTGGCAAAGACAAAGTGGACAAGATATAAGACGCGTTACATTTCTGTTGTCGCCAGCTTGCGTTCAATAAAGCTCTGATACGCGAAGAAACAAAAATCCCTTTTTTTCATCTTTACCGTTTTTCAAGGTGATAATACAGTTCAAACAACATTTTAAGTTTCTTTTTTACAAGGATCATTTCCGATGGAAACAATTTAGATATTGCCGTTTGAAAATTTCGAAACTATGTTTCTTCAAACGTGAGACAGGATAATTGTTTTGAGCAGCAATTTTTTTGCTCATATAATATTATTATACAGCACTTCTTTCATGACTGTGAGTTGTCCTGAAAGTTATGCGTCGTTAAAGTTAATATATACAAGCTTTATTTGAGTTTTCAAAACTTTTTTTTAACCGTCACTACATTAAAAAGTTTAGTCAATAATATTTTTTAACCGTCAGTACGACATTTAGCTTTTCAAATGCGGTACGTGCATATCTTAATTCGACTCAGAAAATATAAGGAAATTCTTCTACCATAAAGAGAAATTAAACTTTCTAATGAACTCTTCGCGTTGTATAAGATAGAAATCGTTAAAATGTTACAAGGCAGACTAATTTCAAATGAGATTTAAACACTACATTAGCTAATGATTTGGAACATATGTGAGTTTTTTCCTAGATAGACCCAACCCAGATACAAATGCATGGCATTTTGTAATGAACGCAATTAGCATCAATGTATCCTTTAAAAAATGCACTCGACAAAGTATACTTGAGGAAGGTAAATTAATACTTAAGCAGAGAATTAAAATCTAACGAATAACTAGGAAGGAGGAAAACAGAGTTAATTTTTGAGGCGATAATTAGAAAAAAAAGCATCCGAATTTCGATTTGCCTCTCAGACTGGTTCTTCTTCAACAGAGTTTAATAGCGTTTTTTGATTTCTCTTTGCTTAACCTTTTTCCGGTGTGAGGCGTAAGCCTGATATGCGGTTGCGTAGGCCCCCCAGTAAAGGGGGCACCGAAGCGTAGCAGGGCTAGATTTAAAAGAAAAAAAATTTATGATTTTTTTCCCCTTCTAAAAGCTTTTTTTCGTTTGCTTGTTTAGAAATAAAAAGTTCAAATGTTCTTATTTTCCTAAAATAAAATATTTCCTCTTATTTTATAACCACCATTGAGCAGCCGACGCAATTTTGGGTTAATGACTACCCATGTTCAATTCAGTAGTCTTGTATTTTTGAACCCAATACAGAAGACAAGCGAACTCCTGAATCAAGTATTGGGAGAAATTTGTCTTTGTGGAGAACTCTCTGATGGAACTAACCCACATTTGCTTTATATGAGAGAAAACCACGAAAACCTCCCTCGGTAAGACTGACGGCAGGAGGGTTCTAACCCATGATCTGTCTACCTCTGATGATACTTTACCTTAGCCCTGTGGTCAGCGCGAGACAGGTGCGGAATTCGAATCAACCAGCCATTACCGGGATTCGAACCCGGTTCACCTCATTGAGATGTGAGTGCTCTATCCCCTGAGCCGCCAGGGCTCAAAATAAACTACTGAAATATATCTAATACTTTTGCAACCCCTTCAAACTGTGCATGTCTTGTCTTATATCTTTTCATCAGAGTCGATCACACCCTGACCTGTGATGAGCAGGTCAGGGTTTGATCATAAGTGTAAGTAAAAATAGGGAAACAGCCCTCAAATTTCAGAATAAAGTTTTTACAATTTAAAAGTACCGAAAAAAAACATTATTTGCAAAAACAAATTTGTACTAAAAAATTTTAATAATTAAATAAATTTTTAGTTTATTTTCATAATTACATATTGAACTGTTTCTTTTCATAAATGCCTATTACTGAGCCTTTTGAAACAAAAATTTATTTCCAGAATTTCAGTGTAACTATATTACTGGTATGCAGGGCTTTATTGTGGATCCCTTTGCATGGCGGTGTCTCGTAAAAACGGCAGTTAAAAACTATCTGTGTAAGTACACCAGCATTTACATAAGGTAACAGAATTTCAATTAGTTTCGAAAATTTTAATTTTTAAGGAATTGTTTTTAGTATTAACATAAGGTAAATTTAAATTTGAATTGCTAGATTAACTCTTTATGTTTTATTTATAAATATTTTAAATGCAAAATTTCAAACATCCTAATTTGAATGCCATTCTTTTTTTTCAGTTTACGAAGTTCGTATAAAAGGTTCAATTTTTCCACCAAATCAAACATATTTAAAAACCATTTGACTATTGCTTTTATATTTTAAGTTCTTTATGATTTTACAGAAATAATTAACATAATTCATTGTTTCTCAGATATAAAAAATATTAACATTTTAATTTCCCATTATGTAATATTATATACCTTGAAGTTGTTCTTGTAGTTCATTTACGTCGCACTAAGCTGCACAATGGGCTATTGGCGACGGTCTGGGAAACATCCCTGTGGATGATCCGAAGACATGCCATCACAATTTTGATCCTCCGCAGAGGGGATGGCAAACCTGCTCGCGAAGTCTAGCACTTTACGGTATAACAGGTCAGATGCTCAAAAATGGATCATACGTAGATTGATCCAAGTGGTCACCCATCCGCACAGTGACCGCAGCCAGTGATGCTTGACTTCGGTGATCTGCTGGGAACCGTTTCTTAACAATCAGTCCACTGCGGGACGAATATATACCTTGAATTTATTAATTTTAAAAGTTAAGAGTGTTCTCACAATAGAAAATGCGGTATGCTTTAATTTTAAGCAAATAAATTTCGTAGGATACTCATGCTTTTAATAATATTCATAATATTTAAGGAATATTTTTACTAACACGATAACTAAGAAATATCAAAATTAAGTTGTTAAATATAGGAATTTTCTTCTTGAATGATGGGACTTTCTTCTTCTTATTATTTTAAATCATTTT